GTAACCAACCTGGCTGCATTTGGAATGGAGGGAATTAAACATGAAGATATGAATCTCTGTGGCACATAGTACTAGAGTTCAGGGACATTTCTTCCTGGCTGTGTTACCTTGCATTTTCCCCATCCTTGATTGGCAAAAAGTATCTCAACATACATTTTTAATATATCAGGGCAAGGGCTGATTTCCTATCTTCTTTTCCTCTTTGATGCAGCACGATTGGCTGGTGGAGTCACATGATGAAAAGGGCTCCCGATGTTCCCTCTTCCTTTCTGTATTCCCCTTTTATGTCCCATTACCAATCAGTTAACTTTTTTTGGATACAGAACTATTTCTCTCCTAGGAAATCGACAGTATGTCAAACAAATAAACTGCCACCTCCTCTTTTTTTTTTCAGAATTCAGAATTACTTATTTTTTGTAGAATGAACAGCAATTTTAATTATGATTGATTGATGTACCATTAAATCAATGTATATTTTATTTTTATTTAAGAAAATTAATATGGTTGCCGATGCTAGGTTGATTCTTAGCCACCTGATAGATTGATTCCCCCCCACCCATGATCTGTCCCTCAATGGTCCTTGTACCATCGTGAGTTCATTGGCACTATAACTGTCTCTCCCCATCTTGCTGATAGTTGTTTTCTCTTTCCTTCCTTTTCCCCAGCATTAGAGCCTCCAGAAAGTTAAGTCTTCACATAAAGTAAGATATTTGATCATATTAATCATTATGTCTCGAGTGAGAACTCCGGGTTGTTTTCTTCTCTTGTACTATATCTTCCGTATGTACTATTTGATAGGTATTGGAGCATGGAATTAGGTATATGTCATATGCCAACCCAATATTGAAACTGGACAACAAAATCAAGAAAAGCCCCAACCATCTAACAAAAAAAAAAAAAAGGCTTCTGAATCTGGAGGTTCCGTGGCACCATAATGACTAGTGGCCTCATCCATGAATTCAGTACTATCACCTATATAATAGTGGCTATTAATTTAGGTGGACTTTCAAAAAGCTTTGGATTGCTTCTGAATCAGTTTTATTCACACAGTGGGGTTCAGTCTGTTCACTTGGTTTTAGCAAGGCCTGAATGAAACAGGATCAACACCAATATTTAAGAATACTGAATTTAAAGAATTACTGTCATCTTTTCTTCTATAGTTGCCATATACTTTATGGCATCCTGAGTCAAGAGCAAGTATACATCTCCGTATAAAAGATATATTTATTTGGAAGCAAGGAGGGATGCTGACCTTCTATTAATAATACCCTTCAAAAATAAAGTACAAGAAGCATTGCAATTCCTCTTTAAACCATGCAGCTATGCTCATAAAACAATCAGAACCCAATTGCTGATTTTACCCATATTTTGGATTTACATGATAAAGTCATTTTTGATTAATCAAGTGAACTGTGTTTACAAAGCACAACTGCATTTGCATAAAAATCCTGCACCAAAACTAACTCTGACCAAACCTAGCATGTTTGAATGCAACTACTAGGTTTGCAATACGTTTGATTAAGCAAGTTGTGTTAACATAGCCACTGAATGCCTTATAGGTAGGGTACAGAAAATGCAGTAGAGTGGCTTGTCAAAATGTTGTACTTCAGAGTTTTTTCTCTTCTGCCCTTCCATCTTTTCATAGACTTGATTTCTGCTGTTCTTGTCTTAAAACACAGCTGCAGCCCCAGTCTCTCCATGCCAACTGGCAGTGGCCTTTTGAAGCTTTTTATTGCTACAGTGCTGCTAACCAACAGATTCCACCTTGTTCCTTTCTCGGACACTTAATGCATTTTCTGTTCCTTTAATCAATGGCTTCCTGTTCTCTTTAATTACCAATTAGCATTTTATAGCCAAAGCAGTTTTTCCTTGATGAATCTTACTTTTTATAATCAACTATTGCAAACATATTGTTAATAAATAGTGTTTTGCCTTTGCCTTGTATCCAGGGAGGGGTTCTTACATGGTGTCTTATAAAGAACTGTATAAGTACTTAATTAAAATATTGGTATCATTTTTATGATTATTATCATTTGTTATTGTGATTATTATCACTTTGTTGTTTTGCATGTACACAGAGAGCTTATGCACCAGAGACAAATTTCTTGTGTGTCTAATCACACTTGGCCAATAAAGGATCCTATATGCAAGAAATAATACTAGAATAAGGTTGATATATTCCAGTATGCATATCTTATCTTTCTGTCTTCTCTGTTATCTTTCTTTCCTAATCAACATGACAAAACCTCATTATATAGCTATAGAAGTTTAGGTACATGAGGTTAAATTGCCCTTCCCCAACCTCTGGGCTCCGGATGAAGAAAGTTTCTGTCAAACATCTCTAGGGAATAACTACACTATTGAAGAAGGTGAGGCTAACTATTAAAGCAAATTCAGCATATCTTAAAAGTAGCAATGCAGCAAGAGCTGCAACCTTTCATTGCTGAAATTGCAAAACTCAGCTTACAGAAATAAAAATAAATTTGCAGTAGTTGTGGCTTCAAAGAGGAAGCTGGAAGTAAAACTAGGGGGAGATTTATGCTGTTCTTTTGAGGGTCAGGTTGAGTTTAGTGGCTTAATTAAGATGTTGGGTTAAGAGTGGAGGAACCTGGGACACAACGTGTAGTTGCATGACCTTGGTTCTCAGTCATTCTCTCTCTGCCCCAGGAGGAAGGCAATAAAAGAAGGAACTTCTGAAAACGTTGTCTAGATGACTGTATGGCACCAAGAGTCAAGCCTGACTCAAAGGAAACCAACCCCACCCCCCATGGGGTGGAAATTTATAAATAAGGGCAGAGTTTTGCAGGTGATCCATAGAAAATTAAATCGGGCCTTGCAGCAGGCAGGATAATTGGTATTGGCACCAAAGATTTTTTTTTGTTCATTTCATGAAAAAGTCAACCAAGGAAGAAAAGCTACTGGTAGTAGTGCAGTTTTTCCTCCTAAATATTATCTTTTTATAGGATAGCCAGGCTTCTCTTCATGTGATTTTTTTTACAAGGTATCTGTGTATGATCAAAATGCTGTTTTGAGTGCTTCCCATGCTACGTCTTATCTTTTCTCAAATCACAGAGTATCCATTAAAGCAGTGAAGGCAGATTTTTCTTAGCACGGCTCTTCTCTCATTGCCAAAAAGGATGTTTTTAATGGATGTACTACAAAACAAACTCACCAGGCACCACAATTTCCATTTTTCCTCTATTCATTATACCCTTTTCCCATCCTGTTCTGATCCTTTAGATTGGTATTTTTAACAGTTGTTTTCTGGTTATCAGAAAAAATATGGTATTTTCATTTAGTTTTAGGATTTATAAAACCCCTTCCTTCAAAGGCTCTAGCACATTGTTTGGTTTTGGGAAATAACAAGAGTAATAGAACACTATTCAGCTTTTGAAAATAACACAAATGATAACCCTGAGAATTAATATATTTCTACAAACAAATATATATTTAAAGTTAATGATATCATACTCAACCAATAAGTACACTGAAAGCATTTGCACCAAGACAAATTCCTTGTGTGTCCAATCACACTTAGCCAATAAAGAATTATAACTATCAAACTACAGCACATTTAACAAAGTGTAAAATATACTGTCTTACTGCTGTTTAGATTGGCAGCATCTGAACAGCTGTAGGTTATTGTTTCATTCATATTTTATAATACAATTGATATAGTATGTACTGTATAAATTAAATAAATTCTGCCTTACTAATACCATAAGGCAAATCTGTTGAAAATAGATTATTACATATAGTATGTGAACTGAGTTTCCACAACCTACAGTGTTTTGTAACATTCCCAAGCATCGATAGAACATATTGAGAGTGTGTATATAATGACTAAAGAGTGGCAAATTGATTGAAATTTCACATGAAGCTTATGATGAATTACACTGCCAGTCTGCAAGGATCCAAATAAAATTTAGCAAAGCAGTCTGAGCATCAATCTATGGAGAAATAAAGGTGTATATATAAGATAATACAAAGGAAGAAGGTACAACTGAGTAACAATATGGAAGAAGGAAGAGGTTGATCTAGGACAGGGGTCCCCAAACTTGGCAACTTTAAGACTTGTGGACTTCAACTCTCAGAATTCTCCAGCCAGCATAGCTGGAGAATTACTACTGTAGCATAATAGTAATATGGTATTCATTGGTTGATTTCCAACTTTCTATAATTGCCCCTGAAAGGCCTAAAACTGTGACATGAAAGAGAACACAAAATAAATGTGTTTGCTGCATCTCTGGGTCTCATGAACTTACCCTGCGTTTCCTGAGTAACTGAAGCCTAGAGAGCCCCAATCAACTGTAAATCCTTAAGATTTTACCTTGGCTGTTGTCCATAAGTTTTCCTGATGCACATTTTTGCCTCGTTTGCTATTTCATTGCCCACCCTGGACCAGATGTTTAGGAATTTGACACAATGTGTTGTAGATTTATTCATTGTAGACTTCATTGGAGAGGTGAGACCATGGAAGACCAAGGTGAAGAACAGAGAAATTAAAGCCATCCAATGAAGTGTTGCTGAAGAAATCAAGAATGGAATTAAAGGATTAAAAAAGACTTAGCATGAGAACATTATTGTTGAAACCCAGTGATAGGAGTATTCTATTACCTCATTAAAATTGTGTACATAGGATCTCCATAATTTACCCCCACAATAACCCCATGAGGTGGATTGGGTTGAAAGAGAGTCCTCATTTGTCTGTGATGTTTCTTTGCATAGCACCAAGTTAAACAGAGTCACTACCAGAAAACGTCATGATGACACCAATTTCTGTGGCTTTAAAAGAAGTTCAACCTCAGCATTTCTTGTGTTCTAAATGGAACAAGCCCCTGGTGAGGCTGATGGAAAGGAACACACTCTTTTCTTTAAAAAAGAGACAATGCTCCTTTAAAACAAAGGCTCACCCACCCCCCCAAATTTGCACAGGGAATGCTGAAGTGCCTCCTGACTCAAGAGCTAAGAATATTGTCTATTTTTTTTCCTGAAAGCAGGGAGAAGAAGATCCTGAGGAGAATCGGAACAAGGAGGAGAAGCCAGATCCAGGAATCCCTGTGAGGAAAGTGGGGCGACCCGGTAGAAAACGGAAACAGCCAGTGGTGAGTGGAAGCCATTGCATACCTAGGGTTGCAGGATCAGTCACCTGGGGTGCGGGTGGAAAGTTGATCTGACTGAGGCTTTTAAATAGGAGAATCAGATCTGGAAGAGTTGGGTCAAATTCTCAGTGCTTTCTCTCTAAAGCTGGAGTTTCTAGGGTCAGCAATTTCTAAGAATAGCTTTGTGGCCTTTGTTGGAGGAGAAAAACTACAGGAAAGCAACCAGTTGGGAAACTCTATATGGTTTTTCATACACAAAAGCCATAGATTCATATGCACTCACACAAAGATATACTGTTGTTGATGCCTGTAACCATGTGTAATTCCATTCCATTCGTAATTCCATTCACATTGGATAGAAACTAATCAAGAGGAGAAGCAACCTTGAAACTTTCAAACAGTGGGAAACAATTAACCAGTGGAACAGTTTGCCTCCAGAAGTTGTGGGTGCTTCATCACTGGAGGTTTTTAAGAAGAGACTGGACAGCCACTTGTCTCAAATTGTATAGGGTCTCCTGCTTGTGCAGGGGGCTGGACTAGAAGACCTCCAAGGTCCCATCCAGCTCTATTTTGATTGATTGCAGCTTCAGTCTGCAAGCACCTCTTGGCTGGGTATTGTGTGGACACACCGATGGCATCTGGCAAAGCACCCAGCTGCTCTTATTAGAAACAAAACTACTCCAGGAAAATTGCAAATAACTGTTTTGGACAGTTCAGCTATTTCTAGTAAAAGGGCCCATGTTCTTGGCTCATAAACTGATGCATCATTGGCTGAGTTTGAGCAATTTGCTGACCTAACACATTTTTTGGGTTTGGACAGTAAGATAAACACGAGTTGCACATGCACAACACACAAACAAAAACAAATCCAAGGTTACAACTAACCAAGCTTCAACCAAGAAGTTGGCTGAAATTAGCAGTATGCGCATCACTGTGCACACAAGTTTCTTAAACTGCTGTCCAGTGGTTGGCTCCCTGTATAAATTGGAGATAAAGGGAGTAGAATTTCAATATATCTGAGTCTCAGATTGGGTATAAAGTGATTTTAAATCTGAAATTTGCCAAGATGTTAAAACTTCTGTGGATGCCCTTGTGGGATTAGCACGGTACCTATGAGAGATGCTATTTCCGCTGAAACTTGGAATAGAACCTCCTCTACTGATAGGCTGTGTGTTACCAAAACATGCTTAACTAGGACACAGAACAGGGGTTGCCAAACTTTTGGACCTCGGGGACCATCAAATTCATCATTTTAAATCCTGCGGACCAGAGACCCTGGGAAAATCCCCCCAAAAAGTCTGCAGGAAAATTCCCCACCCTGTTTTCCTACCGATCGATCATTCTTTATTTGGGATCACAGGATACCGTCTCCAGCTCTGACATTTGCTGCTTTCCTTGTGTACAGCCAAAAGCAGAAGAAGAAAGAAGTGGAAAGAAGCAGCCCAGTGGCCAGGCGAGGCACGTGGGGCGAGCGGGGCAAGTTCCCCTCCTCCGCCCTTTCCCTCCTTCCCTCACTACCTCATGTTGTTCGCAAGCGATGTAGCCTTGTGATCCCGTGGGCCATGTGGGCAGTGCAGCCGCACAGCCTGGATTAATTGCTTTGGAGGTGACAATTCTCTGCAGACCACCAAATGTTTTCGCGGACCATCAGTGGTCCCCAGCCCACTGGTTGGTGACCACTGGTCTAGAACTTCATGGGGGGTGGTCTAGAGGATTTATAAAGTTATTTACAGTTTGATGATTTAATTTGTGCAGCATGTTAAGCTTGATTAATTTAACCTTGTTTAGAGTGTACATGTCCTGTATGCATATGTATAAGAAAGTACCTTAGGGTACTATCTGAACCCTTTTCATATGTTTGATTCACAGTTCACTCTTTGTGCAAAGCCAGGAAATGATAACATTGTAACTAGCCTAAGGATGTTGTGTGAACACACCAACAGTTCCTCCCTTCTCCAGAGGGTTCACCTCACATGAACCTAATTTAGCTGTTTATGCCCAGTCAAACCAATTTCACTTCTTCATACATTACATTTTTAATGGGATTGATTTTTGCTGCTGCTTGTAAGGTTTATATTGGATCTACTGTGGTTTTATGCCCTCTTCTGCTATTTATAACTTTATTATGTCTATTGATTTATTGAACTCTAGGGGCATAAATGTAGCTCTTGATGAGGCATGCTTCCACTTTCTCATATGTTGCTTGTGAACTGATCCATGCAGTGATTGATTATTGCCTCCTCAATTGATCAGAGGTTTTATAACAGTAACTGATAAAAAAAAAGTTGGTGAAATGTATCTTTCAGGATCATCAAGTTCCAGCAAAACACTCTTGATTGCATTCCATTTAATAGAGTTGCTAATTAATCCATAAATACATCAGACCATAAACTAACCAAGCAAGCTAGGTTTTTCCACTATGCTAAACTATGGTTCCTTCAGCTAAAACTAGTTAAGCTTTTCATGTGTGCAAATGCATCTGTTTAGATCTTTAACTGGCCCTGAAGAGCATGGTGCTATGATATCCCTGGCGGGGTGGGGGAGAGAATGCTTACGATGCAGGAACTTGCTATTTCCCCCTGATCCTTCTTCATCCTCCATGAATCTCGACTGGAAAAGAACCAAGTGCTCCTGGTTTCCCAAGCAAGCGAACTAAACTTCATGGTGATAAAGAACATGCTGGTATATTACGGGAGAATCCAGAAGGCAGGCCATCCATCCGTCCGTCTGGTTGGTGTTTTCCTTTTGTCTAATGTCACAGAGAATTCCCCCTGACTTCAGAACCTAAGTTGGCAGAATCTCATGAAGGTTTCGAGTATTTTTATCCTGTGCACGGGATTTCCTTCCCACTTCTGGTTTAAGAACGCCTGATCCAGCTGGGACTTATGCAGATTTGTTTCCCAGAAGGCTGCTTTGCCAATTGGGCCGTGGGAATGGCTCGCCCTTTTAACCATGGGCTCTCTGCAGACTCTTTCACTTTGCTCTAGTTCTCTGCCTTGCACAGCTGCAACCTGATCTCTGGCACTGCTGCCAGGGCCAGGGAAGGAAGCTGGCCACCAGCCACATGCTGGGCCACTCAGAGAAGAGCTGCTGCTGCTGCTGCTGCTGCTATGTTGCTGGCAGCTTCCCAAAATAGGATCAGCCTGGGTGGGGAGAGATTGCTATGGACATGGCAGGGAGGAAAGCAAGGTTGCTGCAAGGCTTGGAAAGGACTTAGAGGAGAGCTGGATGACAGCCAGACTGCTGTCTCTCTGCTGCCAGAGGCAGAGACTGGAATGGATGCATCTGCTTGGTTGGATCCCAAACTGTATTTAAAGGGCCAGCATGAAAATGTTTTGGGAGGCCAAAGGTGGGGCAGGTGAAGTATCTAGAGTGGCCTGCCCTATTTCACATTCTTATACAGAACCATCTGATATAAAGGGTAAGTGAAGGGAAGTCTTGTGATTGACATAAACCTGATGGTTTTGACACAGAATCCAACATTCTAATGTTCCACATTTTCATTTTTCAAGAATCTGGCTTCCAACACGTTCACAGAGTGAGTTTGGTATAGTGGTTAAGGCATCAGGCTAGAAAACAGGAAACCGTGAGTTTTAGTCCAGTTTTAGACACAAAGCTGGCTGGGCGATCTTGGACCAGTCACTCCCGCTAAGCCCTAGGAAGGAGGCAATGGTAAATCACTTCTGAAAAATCTTGCTAAGAAACTTCAGGGACTTGTCCAGGAAGTTGGCTGGAGTCAAAATTGAATCAAAAGAACCTTTAAAACAAAAACAACCCACTCCCACAACAAAGTCTACAGCATGGCAGCAATATGTATGCTTATCACCACAGCAAGGGGGACACCTGTGATTTGGGAATGTCATTGATAAAATAGGAAAATAATTCAATGAAAAGTTAAGAAAATCACATGTGTTGCTAGAAGCTTAACACTCTATGAAAGCGAGAATTCATTTGCCAGATAAAATTATTTAAATGTTGAGAAAGGTGGGGAGATTTCAGCTGCCAGGAGTTTAGAAGGATGGATGGAAAATATTTACCCTGGGGACAAGAAAAGATTGCCTCCACTCATTGTCTCCAAATAGAACTTGAGGAATCTGGAAATGTAATACTATGATTTGCAAATAAATCATTTACCGGCAGATAAATCCTGCTGGTAGGTGATGTGCTAAAGAGGGAAGGTAAAACCCAACGAATCAGCTAATCATCTTTATTTCTGCAATTCACATGTGTTATCAAAGCAGTTCCCTTTGCTGGTGACTTGGAATGGATGCAATGGGAGGGGCAGGGACCATAATGGGGTAACAAATTTCATACCAGTATATTTTTCTGCCAACTCAAGAATGACTGGAGAGCACTTCTAATTTAACCGTGGGGAAAGGTTCTAACCTTGGCTCAGCTTTCTCTGTCCAGCAGAAACAGGGGCATCAGCTGTCTCTATAGGCTGGCAGGCATGGAGTACTTGAAAAATTGGCAGTAGAACTAACTCTAGTAACCGTTGAAGATCTTTTGAGCTTGAGAATAAGCCACTTTTCTGTGGCTTCAACTTGAACATTGGAAATGGCCCTTTCATTGCCTTTTCTTGCTGCCCTTACGTTGGTTAACTTTCTGCTGCATTGCTCCAAATTTTAGACAGCTTCTTGGCCTCAGTCACTTGATCTTCTGTATCCTACCCAAGCAAAAAGTGGAGACAGGAGCAACCAAAGTAACATAGACAATGTCTAGGCTATGTAGCTTGTAAACATTCACGTGGCCTATCCACTTCTGCCACCCCTAGACAGAGCTAGATTATTGCACAGAACCTCTGATGTCTCTGTGATACCACAGAGGTTTGCATGGGAAAAAAATGACAATTAAACGAGTTACAGTTATTGTATTTACATGGTTTTGAACTGCCCAATTTTCAGCTGTGCAAGAATGTGGGCTAGTAAATTTCTATGGATGTTTCCTCAAGTTCTGTGATGATCTAGGGTGGAATATAAAATAAACACAGTCACAAAAAACAG